GCCTGTTGACGCGGATGGTCGGCTTCTTCCGCCTCCTCCTATTCCTGAGGCGCCCAAGGAAGAGGAAGTCACGGACATAAATCGCGGGGCGTTAGCTCCTCATGCTGCAAGCATATTGATGAAGCTACTCTATGCTGCGCGCATATGCCGCTTCGACCTGCTTCGATCCATCAATAATCTTGCTCGTAAGATCACTATAAGTGGTCCGTCAAAGAGGATGCCGGGCTTCTCCACTTGATCAGCTATGTCCATCACACCAAACATCACAAGATGATTGGGTGGGTAGGCAACAGCCTAAAGGATCTCTCCATCGGTCTGTTTGCAGATGCTGACTATACTGGTTGTGGCGAGAGCCTCCGGTCTACCTCAGGTGCACACATGCACATACAGGGTAGTCACACCCGTTTTCCCCTGGCCGGGATTAGTAAACGTCAAGGCTGCGTCAGCCACTCTACTCCAGAGGCTGAAATCGTCGCTGCTGACTATGCTATGTCTCGGATAGGCCTACCGGCCATTACATTGTGGAAACTATTGTCTGCGACAGATCGCAACTTTGTGTTTTATGATGACAATCAAACAATGATTGGCGTCGTGCGCACGGGTAAGAATCCAACTATGCGTCACCTCGAACGATCTCATGGCATTTGCATTGCGTGGATGCATGAGGTGTTCCAGGAGGGTTATGTCGGCCTGGCATATGAGGTCACCGCGAAGATGGCGGCTGACATACACACTAAAGCGTTCAAGGATGGCATATCATGGGCGCACGCGTGCCAGCTCATTAACATTTTCCCTCCTGAGCAGCTTAACACGGTTGACATCATGGACATGATGAAGCCTACGCATGACCAGGTTGCGGATGCTAAGGGCAAAAGCCAACGCGTTCAAAATTACCGGAATCAGACCCCGTGCTTTCCCTCTACTGAAACCCCGATATTGCCTGAAGAACTTTATCGGGCGGGCCTTTCCAGTAAGGAAGGCCTGCAGGAAGTCGATGGATGTGATCCCATCGTTGTTGTCAAGTTTCCTCGCATGTTACGCCCGCCGCCGGCCGCTATTCCGCCTGGTCGTTACCTACGTTCTACGTGGGTGTTGCGTGAAGGCAAGTGGGCGCGTCTTGAGGATCATGTTGA